AAGTGGAACTGTAGAATAGAATAATAGAATCATTTAGGTTGGAAAAGACCCTGCTGTGGTGTAAGCCCAGTTGGCAGCCACGCCACCAGCAGCTGCTCGTTCACTCCTCCCCACAGTGGGATGCAGAGGAGAAAATACCAGGAAAGGCTGGTGGGTCAAGTAAAGGACAGAGAGGGATCACTCACCCGTTTTGGTCATAGGCGAAACAGACTTGACTTGGGGAAGAAATCAGTTTAGTTTGATACCAATCATCCGAGTAGGACAATGAGAGACTTGGGGAAGAAATCAATTTAGTTTGATACCAATCATCAGAGTAGGACAATGAGACATAACCCAGATCTTAAAACACCTTCTCGCCACCCCTCCCTTCTTCCCAGGCTCATCTTTGCTCCTTATTTCTCTCCCTCTTCCCTACAAACAGCGCAGGGGGACAGGGAATGTGGCTTGCGGTCGGTTCATCACACATTTTCTCTGCCGCTCCTTCCTCCCCAGGGGAGGGTCCTCACACTGTGCCCATGCTCCAGCGTGGGGTCCCCCCCATGGGAGACAGTCCTCCACCAACTTCTCCAACATGAGTCCTTCCCACAGGCTGCAGTTCTTCATGGACTGGTCCCTTCTGTAGGGTGCAGTCCTTGAGGAGCTGCCTGCTCCAGCCTGGCCTTCCCATGGAGTCACAGTCTCTTTGCAGCCACCTGCTCTGGTGTGGGGTCTCCCCTGGGCTGCAGGCGGGTCTCTGCCCCCCTGTGACCCTCTATGGGGGCAGAGGCACAGCCTGCCCTCTCCCCATGGGCTGCAGGGGAACCTGTGCTCCACGCACCTCCTCCCTTCCCTTCTGCACTGACCTTGGTGCCTGCCTTGATATCTCTCTCCTATCCCACTTCTCTCTCTTTCAGTCTAATGTATGCTTTTCTGGTTTCCCTCTTAAATATGTTAATTACACAGGTGCTAAGCTCGGTAAGGCCCGGTGGCAGGTCTGCTTGGGAGCCAGGGAAGCTTCTAGCAGCTTCTCAGAGGAGCCATCCCTGTAGCTCCTCCCTGCTACCAAAACCCCACCACACAAACCCAATACAGACCTCTAACATTATCAAGTCCAACTGTAAACCGAGCACTGCCAAATCCACCACTAAACCATGTCCCTGAGTGCCCTGGGATTGTCTTGCATTGCTTTTTTCCCTCTGCTTGCCTCATTTGCTGTATTTTAAGGAACATGGGATGTTAGAAAACAGCTTCCCCGGGGAGCCTTTCAGTGCCGCTCTGGTGAGCTGACGTGGGCAAACAGGAGGAGGCAGCATAAGGAACGAAACTGCCCTTGGATCCTGCTGTACCATCACTGATTGCTTTCGTGGCCACCAGAAACACATTAGAGGAGTTTATCCTCCACGGCATGGTGTAGTAATAACTAAAAGTGAAACCACATGGGCAGTGTTTGCTGACAATTCTTTTAGAAGGAAGCACATCCTGTGCTGTGATTTTTGGGTTTCTCGTGATCATTTTCAGTAGAAGCAAGTTGTATTGTTTGTACTTTTTCTGCTGGTCCCATGTACAGATGAAGAAGCTCGTGCAGATTTCAAGTAAGGTTTTCTTAACTCTTCAGATAGTTTTGTGCTCCTTCTTAACCGTCCTTGTCGTGGGGAAGAGCTGTGCTGCAAGTGGGCTGTTTCCTCCTTAATGGGGGATCCCAGCTTGGATCTGTTTGTGAGTGGCTCAAGGTTTTGTGTTTGAATGTTGCTCTGACCTTCTCCAGGCAAGTCACTGTTGTCTCTCACGGGGAGTTGTGCAGTTCAGCCTCCACAGGCTTCTTCTGCCTCATCCTAATGATACTTTGCATTTACAGAAATGACTGTATCTGCCTCTGTGTAGAGAAAACCTCTAAACTTGCATGAATTCTGATCTTGCATCATTCTGTTCTGTTCCAAAGTCTTGTACAGCACAGGAGTGGGGACCTGGGGTGAAATCGCTGTTGTGGTGACTGGGGATACGTCACCTTGACACGATGCATTGCTCTTCTTTGCACCTCACCAGAGAGTTATACAAGTTTCTGCTGTGATTTATTCAGAGAAACCCCTGGATGAAACATTGGGACTGTCCTATAGATTTTCTAAAAAGAAACCGTTTACTTATGCCTCTGTTAAAGGACTGTATGTTGTTGTTTACTAACAGTTTGGGGTCTTTATCTTTTGCATGTTGGCAAAGCAGTGAAGCAGTTCACAAGAAAGCACCTCACAGCCGATGACTGCGAAGCTCTCGCACGGAGCGCAGAGGGTTCATCCTCTCTGACGCAGCCGTTGAGTCAAAGACAAAGTAGAGGAGATGTAAACAGGGGCCTCAATCCCATCTACCGGACAAGGAGACGTCGAGGAGGTACACTGTGAATACTTTGAAGGCTGATGGATTTGGGGGAGAAAAATGTTAGCATGGTGTGGAGCAAAAGGGCATTGTGTAATCCATCGTCAGACTTGTGCTGATAGAGAAATGCCAGGCAAGCTGAGTGCAAATGGAAGAAACTGGTCGGTTTTGAGTGGTGTGTGGCAAAGCTGGTCTTAATCTCGGCCTCCACAAAATCATGCAATGGTTTGGGTTGG